CGAGGTGGGTTTCCCTGACAACCCTGACAGCTCCCTGAATAGCTCCATGTTTTGCTTTGTTTTGCTTTTTTCCACCCTGTTTCAGCCCACAGCAAGCCCATGGCATGGGGGTGAGCTCCCACGAACTGCCTGGGTTCGAGGGAGAGCTCTTCAGCGGGAGCAGGGGCAAACAGTCTTACATGCTCCCATCCGTGTCTTAGTGGTGATGTTACCCCCTTCCTCACATTATCTTTCCACTAGCTCTCCCTAAAGGAGATGGTAAAATTGTTATCTTCACCTTGGAGATGGGGAAACTGAGGCAGGAAGAAGATGAAGGGTCTTGACAGAGTCCAGCCAGAGAGCCCATGTTGAAGCCAGGAACAAAGCCCATCTCTCCTGAATCCCTCGCACCCTCCTCACTCCGTGCCTCCCCCATGGGTGCATGTGTGCCCAGCGAGGCGTTCCTGGGAGGGGGCCCGTGGCACGTGTGCCAGCTTGCCACACAGCGGACGTGGTGTGTCTGACTGCATGTGGGTGTGCATGACCCTCAGGTGCATGACCCTCCCAGCCCCGGGGGCCCTGGAGAGCCCAGGTGCTCCAATGCTCGCTCACGAGGTGTTTCAAGGAATACTTCTCTTTAATCCTCTTCACCTTCTCCTCCCCCACCCGTAGCAAAGCAAGAGCCGGGAGGCAATTTGCAGATCTGCATGATTTTGAGGTCAGAACTTTGTTCTTGGATAAAAGTCTTTAAAAAAAAAAAAACCTCCCAAAACAACCCCACAGAAAAGCAGAGTGGGAGAAAGAGAAGGAGAAAGGAACAAGCCTGGGAAGTCAGCTCCGCGCTTTCCCGGGCTCCCTGGGACAAGGGGCTCTTTGTTTCCCGGGCTGGAGACTCAGGGACTGGCCCTTGGCGATCCCCCTCCCTGGGAAAGGGGCCAGCGTGAGGCAGGCACAAGGAGGGCAGGCAAAACCCCGGGGCTGCAGTCAATAACCTGCGCCTCGGCTCCCCACCGAGCCCCAGCGAGGGCTGACTGCTCCACAGAGCCCCGCAAAGCAGCTCCCAGAAACAGCGCCTGGAGGAGAAAGAGCCGGGGAACCCCTTGGCCTTGCTTCTGTTCACAGGGTGACGTGTGCCAACAGCGACGGGGCTCAGCATGGGAGGAGGAGGGGGACGGACTTGCAGTCCGTATTGGAGGACTTCAGGCACTTTTTATAAATAAGCAGGGTGATTCCCCTCACTCCAGCTCCAGCATCCCTTTCTCCCCCAGATACACCACTAACCTTTGCATTTTTCAGCTGCGTGGGTCACGAGAGGTAGCAGCCAGACACCTGGGTTTTGCTGTATGCTGTAACTGGGTGCCCAGGTGCCCATACAGCCTCTGGTCCTTCCTGCCGTGGCCCTGGAAGAGTCATTGAACGGACTCATGTTCCCCTAATGCACAAGGTTTGAAACCTGCTAGTGCCTTTTGGACATTGCAATCCTAACACATTTGCTAAAATGCATTAAAGCATCCAACCTGGTGTGTAATCACCTGCTCACTGCTTAGCAGGGCCCTTCTGCACTGAGCAAACCGTATCGTCCTGGCTGTGCTCAGGATCCCCAGGCAGGTGAGCTCCAGCTGGGGTTGGAGACTGTCTGGGACCAGCTGCCCTTGTCTCCTTGCACCCTGGGGACACTGTCAGGGTGTCCCCCAGCATAGGGGTGCAGGCACTTACACAAACTTTGCAAAGACCATCGGGTGGGGAGCATCCAGCAAGGCAGCCGAGAGACCTGCTGGTGGGAATCAGAGCTAGCTAAGCAGCCCCTGGGCATGCTCGGCTGATCCGTGCTCTCACCGACGGTGTCGAGGGGCTCGGGTGCCCTCTCCAAGCCCAGTGCCTGCGGGCAGGCATCCAGCGCAGGCGCGCGTTGACGGCTGTCTGCCGCTGCAGCTCTCTCCGCTCCGGCACAGCAACTTTCAGAAGACCGTCCCGGAGGTGCTGCTGGGCTCCCTGCACCCCGGGGTGCTGACCCACTGCAGGCTAGGAAACGCAACCGCAACCGGCATCCCTGGGGGGTCCCTTGACTGCAGGACGGTCCGGGACTCCTCCTCGCTGCCCCGCCAGCAGCAGCGCTAATGCGGGATGCTCCTGGGGCTTGTAAGCCCAAGGGAACTCCCAGCTGCGGATTCAAAGAGAAAAGCAGCCCGAGGGAGAGGGGGATTCAATTGCCTTGATGCTTATTAGAAAGTGAGACAGGAAAATGAGAAAAATCTCTTCACAGGGCAAAAAGAGATACTCTAGGCAAATGAAATAAGAGAATTTTTTAAGGCTGTTTAAACCTCCAGGAAAAATAGGTTTTTTTTCAATGTGCCTGCCCAGCACAGCCTTGGGCTTTGGGGAGGCACACACTGCCAGACATCATCCTGCAGGGCAGGCAAGAGTCTGCACAGGGACACGGGGACAGCAGCACGTGTTCCCGTGCCACGGCCTGGCAATGCATCTTTATTTGGGTACCACCCGGCCGGGCCTGGGAGGCGGATGTGCCCGGAGAAGGTGC